ACAGGCTCGGCCCTTGCCGCCGCCGGCGCGACGGCCTGGTCCTCGATTCCGAAGAGCAGTTCGTCGCTCTTTGCCGCCGCCACCAACGCCGCCGTCGGGGATGCGGAGCAGGCTGTCGTACCGCCTGAATTGCTTCCGGTGGAGTCACCGGCGGCGCCGGCAGCGGTGATGGCCTCTGGCGACTCGACGGCGGCGATCGATTCCTGCGGCAAGCCTCATCACAGCCGTTCGCCGTCCTTGAACTTCGGACTAGGGGACGGTACGGTGCCCCCGGCCGCCGACAGCAGCCCTTCATCCGGCTTCCATTTCGCCGCTGCCACGTCGCCCAACGGTGCCGTGCCAGCAGCGGTGGCGACGGTGTGCGTCGACGGCGCCGCCGGAGTCGAGTCGCCCTCGTCGCGGTCCGTCGCGCTCGCGGCGGTGGCAGCGGACAGCCGTACGCGCAAGGTACGGGTGCCGTACGGCGCAATCATGGGAGGTGGCGGCTCTGAGGGCGGTGCGCCGCTGGATGTCTTGTCACCTCCTGGCGTTAGTGGTGGCGGCGGCGGGGCCCGCCCCTGGAGCACCTCCTCCGCTGCAGCTGCGCCTACCTTGCAGCGCGGCAGGAGCCTGGGATGGCCTGCAGAGGGCCCGGGGGGGGACGGGGGCGCGGCGGCGGCGGCGGCGATGATCCGCCAGCTGCATCAGCTGCTTTCCAACAAGGCGGATGGCGGGCAAAAGGGAGGGGGAGAGGCGTCCAGGCTAATAGCGGATGCGGTGGGGACAGATCGCGACGGAGGCGGAGGCGGAGGTGAAGTTGATCTGGCGGCGCCGGAGGCAGCGGCGGCGCAGGAGCTGTCACCGGCGCTGTCGAGCGCCGTCATGTCATTGTCGTACATGCTGGACAAGACGACGTTGCTTATGGGGTCCGACAGCAGCGAGGAAGGGCTGTTCGGAGGGCCCGCTACTACTACTGCTACTAAGACTACTACTGCTGCCGCGGCTACTGCTACTGCTATTAGTGCTACTACTGCCACTGCTGCTACTACTGCCACTGCTGCTACTAGTGCCACTGCTGCCACTGGTAACGTTGCTGGAGAGGGAAGCCCCGCAGGGGGATAAGGGTGACGCTGGTGAGTGGCGGCGGTGTGTTGCCGTGCCACCTAGCGTGTACGGCTTAAAGGTAGCTGGGTGTCAGGAGCCCCCCGGTGGAGCGGGCGACGGGTGATACCTCGGGTGAACATTCTCGTTGCGTGGCGGGATGGGGGGACTTCGTGGCGGCGGGGTCGGAGCCGGAGTGGGGTGGGGTGGGGTGGGGTGGGGTGGGGTGGGGTGGGGTGGGGTGGGGTGGGGTGGGGTGGGGTGGGGTGGGGTGGGGTGGGGTGGGGTGGGAGACCCGCTGCCCTTGGCCCTCATTCGCAGTGGGGACCGACGGAGGGCCGCTTCAGTCAGCAGTCTCAATCCTAGGGCGGTCATGCCAACGTGCGAAGAGATTTTGTGGCAAACACATCGGTTCGACACACGCGTTTTTTGGTTTTCTCCACTCGTGTGCCGTACACTCAGGGATAAAGAAGGGAGGAGGGGAGGAGGGAGGCAGGGGCGGATGGCCTGTGACTTTGCCGTGACTCTTGAAAAACGTTTGGATAATAGTGTTTGTGTGCGGGTGGGGCCGCGGCAAGTCTACCCGGGCATAGGGTGCATCACGCCCGGCGACCGGCTGTGGGGGTTTCACTCTAGGGAGGGAGATCTCCCTTCCGCGGGCAATTTTACCCCTTGCTGCGATTTGCACATTGGTGTCGTCGAGGTGGCGTAGTAGTGTTGATGTCGCAGTAGTGGGCAGTAGCGACAAACTGTTCACTTAACACTCGTTTGTCAGGACAGCGAGCTCAGCAATGATCCAGGCAGTCATGTGCGCGTCAGTCTGAGCACAGCCAGCAGCGTAGTACTTGACTGTCGTACATTCCGTGAACTCCGTACCTCACACATAGGAAACAAGAAGCTGCTGCTGCTGCTGCTGTTCCTGCTGTTGCTACAGCTAAGGTTTTTGCAGGTTGTCGTTTCCGTTGTCTCATTAGTCATTAAGGGTGCGGATGGCAGGTTGGGCTCGGGGATTGTGGAAGGGGCGGTATGGCGGTTAGGGGAGATACCATCGCTGTAGTAAGCATACACACGGTAGAGGTGTAGTGGAGGGCAAACAAAGGAGAAACACCAAAAAGGTGGCAGTTAGAGGCATTGCATTAGCACTAACATGGCGCTGTAGACTGCTGGCCAAGTGACTAATCAAGTAAATAATAGTAATAATAGTAATACGTATCTTTCAAACGGCTTTCCAGCCTTCCTTGGGAAGGGGGGAAGCCTTGTGTATTGGAGAAAGAGGTGTGTGTGGGGGGGTGGCTGCGTCTGTAATTTTGTCTGAAGGGGCCAGAACTCATCATAAACTTTTAATCAACAATGTCGGGGATTTTGAATCCAGCTTCGGTCATCCCTCGTCCGGTTTTGCGCGACACTGGACAGCGATTACAACCGAACCGCTTTGACAGTAGTGTAATCCCCCTAGGCTAGGGGGGCTCCTGCTACTGCTGCTGTTACTTATCGGCCGTTGGGGCAATATTACATTTGGCGTTCTGGACTGCGCAACTGTCCGCAGGGCCGGGCCCATTTCTTTCCTTTTGTTGTGTGGGTGTGGGTGTGTGACTAAGGAGGTAGGTGTTCCCCCGTGTCGAGTACGGCATGTGGGAACCACTCTGTGTGTGTATGTGTGCGGAGGTGAAGTGTCAGTAAGTATATCAGTAAGTGAAGGACATATGCGTTTTGCGTGTGTGTGTTTCCTTCAGCTAGGTTAATCTATATTGTATATAGGTTCGATAGCGCACACATCCTATTACAAAATGCATGTGCATGTCCGAGCTGCTGCGTGCGCCATACAGAGTACAGGAACAGTCCGAAATGCCGTCCAGGAAGGTGCGGGAAGGTGCTTGAAGGTGATTAAAAAACCATTTTCGGGATTGGCGCTTCCCTAATAATAATAATAATAGTACGCCGGCCGGGGCCTGGCGTGTGTTAAGGGGGTGGGGAACTGAGGGGCGGCGTAGCCGCTCCTGTATGCCCACACCACCGTGGGAAACCGTTCGGGTTGTACCTGTTACTTGACTGTACCCTCCATTACTCGCCGCGCCCGGATAATCGTGCCCGCTGCTTCGATTGTTTGCCGGTGGAGGTGCAGGCAGGTCTTCTGGGCCTGCTCAGCGGACGAGCCGAGTCTGCATAGTAGCGGTTTTAGTGTGTTGGTTAGAGTCCCAGTACTTCCCAGGGTGACAATTTGCGCCTCGGTGTAGTGCACCGTCCAGCCTGCTTTCGTGAGTTCCTCTGTTAGCCGTGCATGCTGTGCGGTTTTCTGTTCGAGTTTGTCGGAGTGCTGCAGGTCACTGGTGTAGCCCACTTCAACAATGTAAACATCGTGCTTGGATTTGCACTCCGGCCCCTGGTACCGTTTGCGCTTGGTTCTGTGCGCGGGGAGGTCGGGGATGAACAGGATGTCTGGGCGGAGGCGGCGGATTTCTTCGTCCGCTAAGTGTGGCAGCATCCATTTGGGGACGCGCGTCCCACTGCAGTACGGCGGGAGATCCTCTTCTTTACCGGCGTCCATAATCATGAAGCCACCACCGTGGTGGCCCTCGTTGACGCAGTCGGCAATAGTGCGCGTCGCTTGGTTATGCCGGTTGATGTACATGCCCTTCATGGTTGGGTGGGGGCACCCGCCGAGTATGTGGGCTCCTGAGTCTGGTGTGGGGCCGGTCGGGCCGCAGCTGCGGCAGATAGGGCAGTTGCCGTCTCCGCCTCGTCCGTAAAGTTTCTTTAGTTTAGCATTAAATAGCAGCCCGTATCGAGCTTTCAGTACTTGCAGTTTGAGCCAGTGTGACATCTTTGCGTTACTGAGGAAAGAATTGCTAGATTTGGGGTCTAACTTCGAGGCGGTGTTACGCCATTTTTCAGTTAGTATTGTGTCGTTGGTATAGCCTGCGAAGGTACCTTGCTGGAGATGCTTATAAAGGCCTTTGTTCAGGTCATTAACGTAAAGACCGGTGTCGCGTTGTTTCAGCCAGAACACTTTATCGAACGGGGCATTGTCGGCCTTTTCAGTAAATGTTGCTGGGTTCTCACCTCGTGCGACCGATGTTGCTCCTTTGTCAGCTTTGTCATTACCATCAAGGCCTGTGTGCGATTTCACTTTCAGGAAGTGAACGGTTATGTTCTGTTGGGCGCATTCGTACAGTAGGTCGGCGATGTCCATTAGTAAGGCTTTGTGCTTGGAAATATGCAGTTTACTCGGATCGTTTACTGCTCTTTTGATAAGATCCAGTGAGGCTTGCGAGTCAGTGGCAATTGTTAAGGTGATGTTCACCGCCCTTTGGGTTGATAGAGCTACGCGTATTGCTGCCAGCTCTGCCCGTTGAATGGTATTCGTACATCCTTCGCCCGCTGGGTCGATGTGCAGCGTTTTTCCGGTGGGTCCACAGTATGCAGCCGCACCCAGCTTGTTCTGGCCGTCGTTTTCAGCCGATTTAATACAGCTACCGTCGGTCCAGATGATAGTGTGTGGGTCCATCCTGAGTGGCACTTGTCCGGGAAAAGCTGCTGTCAGGCGCTGCTGGAGCGTCTGTTCGTCCGAGTGGGGGACTGTGGCGGTTGGTCTTGGTCTGGGCGGCTTTGAGGCATTCATCTTGCGCATGACCTGAGCGACTTTGTTTGGGTAGGGTCGTTGGGTGCCGACGCAGTGAGTACCCGCGGACATGTCCCGCAGTCGCAGATGTTTTCTGGGTAGGCCGGTGGCGTCCATCGCTTCGAGTTCGGATAGGAGCGCCTTCATGGATCGGGCGTTTAGTCCTCGGATCGCCGTGTCGTTGGCCACCACGACGAGGTCCAGGCCCCCCTTGTAGTCAGGGGTGGGGCCGTCAGTTCCAGTCCCGCTGGTAAGCTTGCACGCTTCACCGCGGCTCAGCCGCGCGAGCTGGAAGACATGCGGTGTGTTGTGTAGCTGCGTGTGGGGGCCAGTTCGGCTGTGCGGGACAATGAGTAGTGTGGCGGTGGGCAGTGCGGATGTCCTTGTGTGTGATGCGTTGGCGCTTCCCTAATTAGGCTCGCTCGTGTTAGCCAGACGGCAGAAGGTGTGCCAAATTTGTTGTGCCGTAAATTTTAGAGCTTGACGTGCGGAGTTGGGGGATGTTTCCGACAATAGTTAGAACGGCTATCCGGTACTGCCCCCTGGAGGGCCCTTGCCGGGCCGTTACAACGGAGTACCCGTTGGTCCGTTAGGTCTGTAGGGCATGTAAGGCACGCTGGTCAAACAGGGCTCTTGGCTTTGCATTTTAATGCTGTACTTCACCTTCCTGCAGCAATGCAACGTATTTGTGGAATCCTTAGCATGCACGTCTTGTTCGGCGGTGGTGAAGACGAAGTGGGGATGGAAGCGGCGGTAATAGCCAGTTTACATGCTATGTAACCTTGCGAAAACGTTTTGGGAAAAGTGGCCCGGAGAAAGTCACCCAGTTTACAGTTAACATGGGACGTTACGACGTTGACGTTATGTTCGTTGGCGTGAACTGCAAGGCACATTTGAGCATACCGGGTTACGCCTTTGCTGTGTTACCATCTCCATTCTACTTATGGCTTTCCATGGCCAGAACTTCAGCAGATCCTCTTACAGAGTCACAGTATATAACTGAAGGGTTATCGGCGGCCCTGCCTTATGCAATGACGCTGGATCCCCCGCAAGCCGCGACGGCGTTTGCCCTAGCGGCCGCTCTGGACGAAACTTTTGATAACGTTGAGGCTGTGCTCGATTCTCATTGGCAGTGCTTGAGAGCCGTGGTGATGATGGCAACGGCCGCTGAGGACTTGGCGCTCAATGGCATTGTATGGGTGCTGCAGCCCTGGCACTCACAGCGACCGAAGCTCTGCACCGGTTTTGGAGCATCAGCAATGATATCATGATCACTGAGGGTTATCGATAACTCTCAGGGATTTTGGGAGAAGCAGCTCCTGGGGGACTGGGTGGCCGTAGGCGCTCGTTACCCTGACCGCGAGGATGCCGGGTACCTCAGGAATTTCCGTGTCACGAAGGGTCCGTTCTGGGAGCTGTGCCGGTCCATTGGGAGCGCCGTGGCCCGACAGGCACGGGGGGCTGCCGTCAGGAGCCCAAGGAGTCCTGTGCGGCCGGCATGCTGTTTAGCCGGAGCTCCGGGCCTCGAGGCTTCAGCCCCGAAACTACACTAGGCTGTCTATTTGTTGCTTTTGCCATACTACTTTTCCCAAAAAGTCTTAACGTAACATTGTATGTAAACTCGGTATAAGGGATGTGAAGAGGTGGTGGTGGTTAATGTCTGGTCACGGTACTTGTAAACCTCTTTCTTCTATAAGCAATCTCACCGCTAACATCCAATCCTATATAAGATTCTCTCTTCTGCTAAAAGACTTAGGCTACCATCTTTCCTACTTTACCAAATCCTGCAACAATAAGTGGTAACGACGCAATTCAGGTAGGGTACGAGGGGTCAACGTTTGACGAAATTCACCCCCTTACTATGTCCGAACCGACCACATTACCCGTAACTTTTCCCGTAACGTTGCATGTAAACTCAGTATGAACCCCATGAACAACAGCGTGAGCGTGCTCATCAAAATATTTTAACAGCTTGAAACAGCCAGAAGCTATGTGAGTGCTTGTTGCAGCTTACTTGGCATAGCCAAGGATAAGAATACAAATATAGCTCAAGGCGTCGTGCCGAATCAACTACAGAGCAGCAATATTAGCTATACTATATAGTATACTATATAGTAGTATATATACTACTTAGGAAATCAGTAGGACATTTTTTACTTGATGTGAGGGAATCACTCATTGGTCGCTTCTTAGGTATATGTTCGTCAGCCTCTGCTCTCATCTGAGAGCTGTTGCTGACAAGAACCAGTAACGATGTGTCGTTGCTGTTCATGGAAGTCCAGAGGGTCACAGGTGATGTCATCAGGAGGTCTCAGCAGATGGAAATTGACATCTAAAGAAGACAGATCAGCATTACAAAAGCATTTTTGGCAAGCAGCTGTTGATACCACAAATACGACTTTGTGCATCGACAGAGTAATCATAAATGGCCGCTCAGCATCAGTTGCATGTACCATTCTGAGGGCTTGTGGATTTTAAGGACGGAGATACATATATTACATTCCGGATCACCAAAACCGAAACCCTCTTACAACACGTCAGATCGCCATCGGAATTTAAGAGCGCCACGATATTCCTTTGCAACCGAAGGCACATCGCTCAATTAGTCAGAAAGCATGACCGTGACAACGATGTCAAAACAGTCTACTACTGTAAATTATGCTTCAATTACATACTAATGCGCCGCTGTGCTATGCTCTGCGTTGTTGCGACGACTCCAGTTTCTTCTCATGTATTCCTCGGTGTGAGAGCGCCGCATCCCAGGGCGACGGAGGTCCATACGCGGTGTTGATGTTGACATTATTCACACGTTATTCCACCGACCAAGTTGCCCAGCAGGCCGCACGCACACGACCTGCGAGGAAATAGGAGGGGGGAAGAGGGGTTGGGGGGAGTTGGGGGGGCAGCCGGCAATACCCAACCTTGTCCGGCGGGCATATGCGGACAATACAGGGATCTACTAGATTGTAATATGTAAAAGTATTAATCATGCAACACATGTAGACGATCCCCATTCCCTTCACCTAACATGAATGATAACTGCCCCAACCCTGCGGATATCGACTGTCCATTGTTTTTTACCCCCCGGGGGGGTTAAATGAAATAATTAAAGATTCTTCGTTCAGAACCCTCCCTGAGCTCATTAGCTCTCGCAGCAAAGATGTACCAAAACCCAAATTGTAAGAAGTAACAGTTACCTATCTTACCAACGCTCCCGAAGGGATTTAAAGCATAGTGATAATCGCAACGTGTAGAGCCCCAGGCCCCAGCGGAATGTGGAAGTAAACCATTCCTCATTTATGTGAGTGCAATTCCGAGGACGTCGTATGTTTTAAACCTTCACGCCGCAAGGCGGAATTCAGATGCAGACGTAAAGCAGTCCGATAAATGGGTGGTCAGCAGGTAGGTAGTCAGCAGGCTGCTCTAGGCGCTTGGACATATGTACACACCAGTACCCTAAGTACATATGTACACACCAGTACCCTAAGTACATATGTACACACCAGTACCCTAAGTACATATGTACACACCAGTACCCTAAGTACATATGTACACACCAGTACCCTAAGTACATATGTACACACCAGTACCCTAAGTACATATGTACACACCAGTACCCTAAGTACATATGTACACACCAGTACCCTAAGTACATATGTACACACCAGGTTTACAGTGATGCTAATCCATGTGTCATGTAAGTGCATCGTGTTTAGAGGTTGGGTTCATCATCATCATCATCATGTCATCATCATGGAAGATTCATTATCACGCTGGATAATAGAATCGGGAGTGAACTGACATCAACTGTCCCCAAAAGACGATGGTTTTTTAAGGACAACGAGTCGGAGTTCTCAAGGCGAAGTAGTTAGTGGTTTGCGCCTGCCATTCTAGTCTTCACAGATGTTCATTGTGGCTTTCCAGGTTACTTGGATAGGGACTCGGTGATATGCCCGCATGCGGGTTTGGGCAGGGAACATCACAAGAACTTACAAGACCAAGTGCTTGCGGCATTTGCGAGTTTTCGCTCACTCATGTTCGAGGGAAAATTGCTTGCGTGCATGGGGAGGATGGATGCGTTTGACCATAAGAAGCACCCAAAATCCTAAAATTGTAGATCGCCTGTCGTCACACGCCATGCCACGTGTGAAAATGTCTGTTGTTTAGCTTAGTGAGAGGCAAGTAGGTCGGACTCGGGGGTCAGTTTCAGAGCAATTGAGGCAAAGGGGTTGGGCCATGAGACCATGTGCCTAATTAGCACCATTGTCAAAATGGACGTTTTCCAATTCCAGGTAAAACACGAGGCGTTCCCAGTGTGACTTCGATCACGCAGCCACGGCAGCCAGGTCTAACAACGGGCTTGTGAGGTGCCTCGGACTACAAGTTGCACGGTTTCAACATCTGCGAAGTAGTTAGTGGTTTGCGCCTGCCATTCTTCACAGATGTTCATTGTGGCTTTCCAGGTTACTTGGATAGGGACTCGGTGATATGCCCGCATGCGGGTTTGGGCAGGGAACATCACAAGAACTTACAAGACCAAGTGCTTGCGGCATTTGCGAGTTTTCGCTCACTCATGTTCGAGGGAAAATTGCTTGCGTGCATGGGGAGGATGGATGCGTTTGACCTTAAGAAGCACCCAAAATCACGCGTGAAAATAATGTCTGTTGTTTAGATTAGTGAGAGGCAAGTAGGTCGGACTCGGGGGTCAGTTTCAGAGCAATTGAGGCAAAGGGGTTGGGCCATGAGACCATGTGCCTAATTAGCACCATTGTCAAAATGGACGTTTTCCAATTCCAGGTAAAACACGAGGCGTTCCCAGTGTGACTTCGATCACGCAGCCACGGCAGCCAGGTCTAACAACGGGCT